AATCTGCAAACAATTGGATGGATACTCTCTGTTTAGGGGAACCCAAAAAAAAAAAAAAAAAACTAAGTAAAGCAAGGTTCTTAGTTATGGCTTTAACAACACGTTTTTTGGACGGTAGACTCATCTTTCTCTTGTTAAAGCTTATTCTCAAGTTCTCAAGCTACTTTAGGACTTAGGACTCTGTCACCATCATACTCTCCTGCACTTTATTTTCTAAGGTTGTAGTTTTTACTAACGGCGAGTACGATATATATTTGTGATGAGTTTGATACTTATTCTTGTGGTATAACTTTGTTGTTGGTGTATTAGCCCGTTGTAAAAGTAATTGTAAATATCCTATCGTTTATTGTAAATATATATATATATATATAATGGTACTTCCTTTCTTTTCTTCTTTTGTTTGTTTCTTATTATTTTAACGAGGAATCCAATGACCCTTCTTCGGAGCCATTTGCTAAATCCAGGAAAATGGAATCCTTTCGCACAAAGCATGTGCCTTCATTTTGGGATTTTCAGGAATGAACAGTATGACATTTTCAAGTGGGGCCGGCCTAAAACACAAATTAGTTGTATTGATGGAATGAGATGGTTGGACAAAATAAATGAAGGGGATGAATTTGTATGATGCATTCATGAACCATACAAATCACATTTCCTTACTGATTTATTTCAATGATTTGTATTCTTTAAACCGTAAATTATACAAAAAGAACAAGTTGCATTTCGTATTACATACACAACTGCGATTGAAAGTCAAATAATATAAAGTCAAGTGGAGAATTGATTTTATTATTGAGATTATAGAATCTCACGCTGAAAATTCAAAGCCTTAAAAAAAAAAAAAAAATTTAAAAAAAAATTCTCCCACATGTTTGTAAATTAAATTTTTTTAAGTCTCTAACTTTAACCAAGTATATCATGGCTGAAATAATTTTTTTCCCATGTATAACATGCTTGAGTATCCAACAAGAAATACATCATTTACAACAATGAGTAAGTACACCTCTCGAAAAACAATTTGAGATATCTTATTGTGAAACTGTGAATCAAGAGTGCACATTCTACTATAATTTTGTTAAATTCAGAGAGATGAGTCAGTGGCCCACTATTAACAATACTGATATTGTCTCTAACTTAACCACCTACAAAATTCAGTGGGTGTAGAATTTTATCACAAAAGGCCTCGGTGATATTGGTAGTGAAACCATTCATTATATATCGTATTTTATTTAGTCAAGTTTCTGATGTGGGACTTATATTCTTCAACAAATTTGACATAATTTTAATTTTAAAATTAAAGAATTCAAAGCTTTGTCAAAAAAATATAAAATTTTAGTTCTCCCCACATGTTTGTAAATTAAAATTTTTTGAGTCTCTAACCTTAACCAAGTATATCATGGCTGAAATATTTTTTTCCCATGTATAACATGCTTGAGTATCTGACAAGAAATACATCATTTACAACAATGAGTAAGTACACCTCACGGGAAAAAGAAAATGGATATCTTATTGTCAAATTGCAAATCAAGAGTGCACATTCTACCACGATTCGATATAATTTTAATTTTAAAATTAAAGAATCATAATAATATATAAAATATATTTAAATATATAGACGATTATCAACCGTTAATACAAGCGTACATTTTACTAAATCGGGAAAATGGTTAACGACTATTCCAAGCATTCTTCCACCATATAAAATAGTAGGCGTAAGGGAAGATTTATCAAAAGAATACTTTTTCTGTTTGGGTAATTGACCCGAATATTAATTAATACTGATGGATGGCTGTTATATGTGCTTGCTCAACTCCCGATAGTGATCCCCTCCTAGTTTTGTCCTGGACAGTGACCCTGCTTAATCTTACGTACTAGTCTGATTGGACAGTCACAGAGTATTTCTTACACTTTGAAGAGCTAGACAATTCTAAAAGCAGAACTTCCCTTTCTAACCAACCCACCCTTCTTACACGAATCTCTGGTACACATTATCCTCTTTCTCTCTCTCTCTCTCTCTCTCTCTCTCTCTCTCTCTTCGATAAACGATGGAATATGTACAAAATAATAGAAAGGGTCAATAAACCACAACTAAGTATCGAACTTATCACAATTAAGTTTACACATTTTCTCTTATCATTTTGAAATTTCTTGTCATACGAATATTATTATTTTTTCAATCCTTTCTCAGTTTTCCTGCCTGTCCTTTATCCTCATATTCTCCAACGAGCAGCAGTGAGCATACAAAACAAATTTTAAATGTAAGGAATATAGCTGCAATAATAGTGTTCGTACAGTAAGAAAATCCAGACATCCGAATAAGAGAAGAACTATATATACACATACATATATATCGTCATCGTTATCTATGTAAATCAAACCTAAATAGAAACCAATACTACAAGATAAAAGCCTAATTGATTCTCTCTCTCTCTCTCAAAAATTAAAGTAAGCCCTTTAATTATTCTGTCAAAATTATGAGACCAAAGAGTAGCTTATAATCTAAGCTCTCTCTTCTTGTGATTATTATTCCTTCTCCCTCAATTATGCATGCTTAATTTTATATAATATGGCCCGCCTGCCCCTCCTTTTATGACAACTTTAGGACACGTAAAACTCAAGCCAACCCCTAATTTTCCCATTAAAATATAAGCATAAGATCGAACAAGCTGGTGTGTACATGGCCCTTGTTGTTAATGTTGGCTGAGATTGATGTGGCCTGCCCCTTTGCATTTTATTTTAAATTATTCATTATTTTCCCAGATACTAGTGGCACATGGGAATATTTCCTAATCGATCTATATGCCTTATATCAACCAATAATTAATTTTAATTATCTAATTAATCCCAATTTAGCTTTTAATGAGCCGTCAGCAGCCAATTTCGTCTTTTGGAGCAATTTTTGCATTGGTATATTTTCATGTATAAGAGATATTTTTCTTTTCGAATTCGAAAAAGGTCATTTATTCAAAATTTTCCCTCTCTTTTTTGATAAAAATAAAAAATAAAATTGTTACATGTATCAAATTCGTGGCCACATTTTTTTTTTTGGTTAGAGTTCGATACAAATATATATATATATATATATATTTTTTGGGGTCTCTTTCTGAAAATTTTGGGCACTGCTGCTAACAATGATGAGGCAATTAATATTGGTTTTTATTATTTGGATGAGGGACATGGAGGTCAGTAGGACTGAGCTTTCAGTTACATTTTGAGCTTCGATGGTTAAAGTACAACATAATCATCAGTAATCAGTTGATGGTGTAAAATAGATAAATAAGCTATTTATAGTATTCAGGCCACAGAAAGTTTACCGTAAATTTGAAAAAGTAGGAATCGGGAAATTATTGTTTGGCTTTTGTTACATTTCCATGAAGTATTTTAAATGAATGCGTTGAAGCTTAGTTCCATTTTCAAGTTCTGTAAATTTAAGGTTAAATTGTAGCAGTAGTCTCTATATCGATTTGTTTTTATTTATTTTATATTTATATATATTGAGAAAACGATGATTATATTCATAAATTAGGTACAAATACTATAAGCCACAAGGGCTGGTAAAAATATGCACAAATGGTTAATACAAAAATAGAAGCATATGGTTAATCCATATACATAGAAACACATAGGCAACATCAAGCGCACGAGATGTATCCAGTACTGGCCTCATAAGGCCAAAAAAATTTCGGCATAAAGGCCACAAGCTTGAACAAGCCAGACATGAATTGCAGTGCATAAAATTACCAATACAACTACAACTGTAAAGGGCCATCCCAATAACAATAAGGCATACATGGGTAAAACTTTCCTAGTGACCTAAGCCAGCTGAAAAGCTGAAATGATCTGGAGATAATCACTCTCGAAAATAACTTTTCTATAACTTCTCTCAACCACCATAATTTCTCTGAATCTAGTCCAATAAAGGTAAGGACAAAAACTATGTTCTAACTAGCATGACTCTCCTAAAGAGACTAAGAACACCCAACAAACTCAACTAAGTTTCTGGAATCATACGAGAAAAAACACAGAAAACTCATAGAGTTTTTGGACTTGATTGAACAAACTCACTCAAAAAAAAAAAAAAAAAACTAAAGTAATGCCGTCAAAAGGAAAACCAATCACCGTTAATCTTCCTCAGGACATGACATAGAGAGCGCTACCTAGTTACTCCAGGGCCTCAACACAGCAGTGAGCAATAAATCTACCATGACCAAGCCGCACCTCAAAGAGCAGCCTCACAAGATGAGGCAAAACCAGAGCGAGCCCAAATATGAGATAATAAATCTGCCAAAAAGATGAGTAAATCGACATAAATCTACCAAAAGTGGAAGAGCACCAAAAATTCAAAGGAATCCGCAGGGAAATTACCCTAGAGTAAAATTAATGTTTTATAAGCATTTTATTGAAGTAGGGTGTAGTGATGGGAAGACAGGGAGAGGGAAATTACCCTAGAGTAAAATTAATGATGTGATTTGTGATTTGTCAAAAGAGACAAAAGACAAATACATTGAATTATACTAGTATTGTTTATGACATCCCATATTGCATCATTCTTGGGATTGTAAAAGGGTACAAATCTCTCCGTCAGTCTCTCTCTCTCTCTCTATCAGGCACGCAAAGAAAAAAGAAACTTAAGAAGGAAAAAAAATACAGAGGCTAGTTAATCATGTTTATCGATCCCAAAGCCGTGTCAATCACTCAACTCAAACGTGTAAAATGTCAAACGTCGGGCAGATCAACCAACTTCTTAACCAACAAATAACCATTTAATTACGCAACAAATAAAACCATCAAAAGCTACCTTAATTATATGATTAATCTAAGTCATCTTCCTTCCTTCAACCCAACTCAAACAAGCAATCATCACACCGACCCTGCATCTACCATCCCCACGCAGATCATGCTTTTGAATATATAAACAAAAATTATTAAGAAGGAACAGCAGGAAGATGAAGAACATGAACCCGAAATGATCAAAATCAAATTAATGAAAAACACTTGATTGAAGAAAGAACATGTACAAACAAAACAAACCAATTGGTTATGGAGGAATGTAATTCATGCTCTCATGAACATTGATGAAGGGCATACAAATTTATATAATTCAGATCCAATTCTCTGAATATATAACCTGGAAATTCTCTCTTCTTCCCCAACCGACCGGCATAAATTTATCAGCCACCGTGTAATACAAATTATATCAACGTAATTTTCACGTTTTGGACCATACAAATCCCATATATATATAAACCCAGAAACCAAAAACTATGAAAGAAGAAGAAGAAGAAAAACGGTGTAGTAATTAATACTCCGTTCCGTTCCCGTTCAATTGAATTGGCACCGGTGGAAGCTTTGTTTATGTACAGGGGCAGCTCCTCTTGGCACGAGAATTACTCAAAAAGCTCGATCTGAAAAAGTCCTCGACCTCATCCTGGTTCGCCGTCTCGAAGAATTGCAGCTTCCTCTTGCATGAGGAAGCCGCCCGTCTGGCCGGCTTTCGAGGTGCAGGCGGGCATGTAACAACCGTGGGAATTTTGTGCTCTTTGGATGTTGGCGTGCGGCAGCCGTGAGCGACCTCATCGAGAGCATCATGGTCATGGAGAGATAATGGTTGTTGGGCTTTTGGGGTTGAGATTTTGATGGTGAGGAATCTCGGATTTGGGAGGTCTTGACAGAAGTCCAGACCAGTGGCCATGGTTGAAGATGAAGATGAAGATGGAGATGGAGATGGTGAGGAAGAAAAATAGATATATTTTAGAGAGGTGTTTTGGTGTGATGTGGGTTTTTTTGTGGGGCTATTATATATTTATGGTTTTGGGATGGGGAGGGTAAAGGGGGCTCATCACAACGTGTTAAAGAGTGGGAAGGCGTGCGTTTGAAGGTAATACAGCAGAGAGACAAACAAAGAAAGCTCATTGCTGCTTCTTTTATTCTATCTTCTCAGCTACTAGCGCCACAGTTTCCTTTAGGAAAATGACCCCTCCCCCCTCCCCTCTCTTCGTGAGACACGTATCCAGTTAAAAGATTACATGCGTTTTAGAAATAATTGCGGGTGTACAAATTTAGACACGTATGATATCCTTTTGTTTCTATTTTTAAGTGGCTGAGCTGGGAGGAGTGATTATGGGATGTCCTTTTGAGTAATAAATTTGAATTAATAACCAACAAGTATATGCAGGCAGCTTAGAGATGCAGATGATGAGCTTAGGGTTATCACCATTTCTGTGATGTCAATGTCGATCTTTAATTTCTTTTTTGGGTAGATATTTGGGATTGAAGTTAACATTATTGTCGTTTCCTATCTATACTTATGAAAGTTTTGGTAATGTGTTAATATCGTAATGAATACTATGAGTTACATACTTGGACCATACATGTTACTACTTTGTGCATTGATATCATATTTACTTATCGGAAAGGGATATGAGAAGAAATAAAGCTATTCTAATTCATAACTTTCTTACGGTTATTAAAAATATACGAGTCCAATTACTTATTACTTACTTTCTCTGCTCCTAAATTTCCCGATTTCTTATTTTTCCATTCTAAATAAGTAAACATACTCAAAAAAAAAAAAACCGAAGTAAAAGATATATCGATATATCGACCGAAGAAAAACAAAGGTCCGTAATAATTAGAAATTTAATGTAGTTGTACGAGAAGCTGTGAGGTTTTATGGCCAAGGTCTTGGGAGTCAGATCTCATTCTCCTTGCTTTTTTGTGTCTTTTTTATTTTTATTTTTATTTTTCGCTTTTGTTTTGGATCGACATATTTAACGTAAATATTACGTTAATGGCAAAAGGTCGTAATTCTAAAGCTTAAATTATAATCAACGCGCTCTGGAGGAGAGTGCATCCCACACTCAACCAAAGTGGGTATGGCACGATATTCATGTTCAGTTTTTGCTTTTTGGCTAACCGCACGATATTCATGTTCCATGGTGAGCTTTTTAATAATCCGCAATTATTTATTTTTTCTTTTTAATAACTAAATAGCACCCTTCTTTTCTTTTTTCTTTTTTTCTTTTTTTTAGCGAAATGTACCGACCAAAGTATAACTATATTTGCAGAAAAATATGGCCGAAACCATCCCTGAAGACATCTCACAACTGATGTATGACTAACATACTATATTATCTTTTTAACTTTCCAAAAAGAACTGAGATATGAAAATATATATATATATATATAAAATTAAGTGGTTTACCAATATAATTTAGGAGTTAAAAAAAATATTCATAATTAACTAAGGTGAATTTGTAAAATTGATGAGTATGGGTTTTTATGATCAAAGATGGACCTATACACTGTCTAGCTCAAGCAAGGTCTAAAATATCGAGAGGTTCGGAAATATCGGTGGTCCATAAACACGGATATATCGAGGAAATATCGATATCGATAAAAATTGAATAAAAATCACTAAAATTGTGAGAAAAACTTGGAAATTTTTATTGAAACTTTAGAAGATGTTTACTCAGTCAATTGTGTCTATTATTTTATCACAAAAAATTGGAAGAAAATGCATGGCATAATATCCATATTTAATACTATGAGCCCAAGTGATTTTTTTTTCTTTCTTTATAGTTAGTATTAAGTATATATTTTAAATTATACTTGTATTAATAATAGCCGTTAGACTAGGATTTAAGAATTGGGATTAATCCATGATGAATTTATGGATCTTAGTATTCTTTTTTAAGTTATGGGTTTGCTTTGTTTGCAGGATAGTCGAAGATGACGATGAGAGTTTAGTTGTGGTGTTGGTGGTGGCAATAACCAACCAAAGATGACAGCATTCGACAAACACCGAAACACTCAGTAACCACCCTTTAGTGGTTCGGGGGCGGTCATGATTTTAGCCATACCACACCCTCTCGGTTGGTATGCGGTTTCGTCATTTTGAGTCAATTGCCGAACTGAAACCACTCCTATATTCAATAATAAAATACATCAAAAGACAACCTGTAATACATCAAACATATACAAATATATCTCATTTCACTAAGTTTTTATATTATATTATATATATATATATGTATAATTTCTTGACCATATAAATCGAAGTGAAAGTGCTATGAAATACCTATCTAAATTTCGGAGTGCATTTATTCCAATTTACGGACAACTTCTTTATTAGATATCATATACAATGCCTACGTATAAAAACTAGAAATTAAAAAAAAATGGCGCTTTTGGCCACCAACTTTTTCAAATATTTTATCTTTGATGGTAGATGGAACCTACCAATATAAGTAGCTTTTAATCATAATAAAATAATTTTTTGTTTTGGGTTTTTAGGTACCATTAAAATTTTGGCCTCATCTTTGTAGAGTGCCTTGTTGGCATGTTGTTCTTTTGTTTTGGCAGACATGTTGGCATGTTGCTCACTCACTTCCACCATTTGCGCGTAGACATGAAGATACATATACACCTAATAAAAACACAGCAAATCTTCTCTCTCTCTCTCTCTCTCTCTCTCTCTCTCAAACGCTCAAAACGGTGCATTTTATATAGATATAAATAATGGTATAGCAGCATAGGATACCATGTAAGAGCCTTCAATACGCTTATCTACCATCTACCAAAAGATCTTTTGTCCAAAAAGATCTCTCTCTCTCTCTCTCTCTCTCTCTCTCTCTCTTACCATAAAAATAAGAAATAGAAAAATATAGAAATATTAAATAATAAAATAAAATAAAAGTATGGATTAGTTTACCAAACACCAACCTTTTATGAAACTGCATCTTTACACGTGAACTGTCCCCTCCCTCTTGCTTGGTTTTCACCGTCAATCATTACCCTATAAACCAAATATTTTTTTTTAATCACATATTTTAACATGCAAAATAATATTCCTTTTCACCACGCATCAGATATTTCCAAAATTTTAATTCATTAAAATAATATGGTGCATGATATGGTTCATGTACCTTAACAATTAAAATTCGGATGTGTTTAGATCCGAAATTTTGTGTTTTTATTGTTGGTTGTTGTAGGGATTGTATAAGTTTTTATGTAATACTTGTGCTTTTGTAAACTTTGATTGGCCGAGCGGTTGAGTTTTGATTCTACCTCACCGAATATTGCTTGTATAAAGAGAAAGTTGATGCTCCTAATAATCGCCTCTCGTATATATATAATTATAGATACATTTCATCATTTACAATATACATCTAGATAAGATAGAGTTAAATCAAGATCAAACCTATGGAAGCTTTATCATGAGGTAAACCAGACAACAACATTCCAACTCTGACCTCGTAAATCACCACTTTATTCTTCATGTCAAGGATATATGCTTAAGAATTACAGTCTTTATCTCCCCTTTTAATATAGTATTATACCTTTTTATGTACACATATGTATATATATATATATAGTAATACACCTTTCTATAGATATATATATATATATATATATACTTTTTTTTATATATGAAATCAGGGTTCCTTCTTCTATCTAATTATTTTTCGTTTATTTAATTAAAGTTAATTTATTGAGTGCTTTTGACTGGATTAGAATTTAAATCTCAGGTGGTGATTTGTACTTTTTCACATTAATGGAGTAGTTATTATTTATGAATTAATAATATATATATATATATATATATATATATATTACTGTCTGCGTGCATGAATGATGTATCGATATCTGCTCTCTTGCTTTGCTCAAAACGGGGATATGCGATTATTTATAAAATGATTTTATCCATTGTCATCATGTAAAGAAGGGGGGAAAAAATAGAGAAGAGATAAGTCAACTACTGTCCAAATGATTCTGGAGATCGCTACACCATGGTTTATGTATTATATTTTCTTTTTTGAAATTGTTTTACTCTGAGTCTATGACGTGGCAAGCTAGTCCTTTACTTTTAGGGCGCGTTCGGTATCCTATTTAAGTAAGAAATTCAAAATTTTTTATTTTTCTTAAAAATAAGGAGTTTTAAAATCCATTTTGTATGATTCAAAAACTTGTTTGTTTTGCAACTTGAAAACTGTTTCTAGAAAATGCTTCTAAAGAAAAACATATTTTTGTTTTTGTTTTGAAGTGTTTATGTATTTTTTTAGTTTGGGTTTTCAAAACTGAGCATAACAAACAAATTTTTTTGGGTCTTGGACTCAAATACTATTTTTAAATTTAAAATTTTGGATTCAAGTAGAATACCAAAATGCCCTTAGGGGGTGTTTGGTATCCTATTCAAATAGGGAATTCAAAAACTTTGATTTTTCTTAGAAACAAGGAGTTCTTAAATCTATTTTTAAGATTCAAAAACTTGTTTGGTATGCAACTGGAAAACTGTTTTTAAATCTTAAAAATTTGAGAACTTGTGGGTTGTTGGAAAAAAAAACTGAAAAAACAGATATTTTTTGTTTTTAATAATTATGGTGTTTTTTAATTGTTCTTGAGTTTGAGTTTTTAAAAATAGAGTTACCAAACATGTTTTCTTTGTTTTGTATTCAAATTATGTTTTTGAGTTTAAAAAGTTGGATTCAAGTTGAATACCAAACAGGCCCTTAGCTTGCCACACTTCTTACTCGTTGTGTTCATTTAGTGTATTGTGCATATGTCACATAGGTTTTTCTTTCCGCTTTATGAGGATTATGAAGTATATGTTAATTCTCAAATCCTTTTTGTTGGAGAACAGGATTTCCCTTTAAATGAAAAAAAGAAACTATCAATTACTTGAAAATATTTATAGTCCTTATGCATTGCAGTTGTACGAATGCTTCATATTAAAGACTAAATTTATCCCGTCAATGAGGTCTAACCCAATATATAAATAAAATAAAAACTAAAAATCCCAATTACTAAGGGGGCATTTAGTGTCCTATTCAAATAGGGAATTAAAAAACTTTGATTTTTCTTAAAAACAAGGAGTTCTTAAATCTATTTTTAAGATTCAAAAACTTGTTTGGTATGCAACTTGAAAACTGTTTTCAAATCTTAAAAATTTGAGAACTTGTGGGTTGTTAGAAAAAAATTGAAAAAGCAGATATTTTTTGTTTTTAATAATTGGGGTGTTTTTTGGTTGTTCTTGAGTTTGAGTTTTTAAAAACAGGGTTACCAAACAGGTTTTCTTTGTTTTAGACTCAAATTCTGTTTTTGAAATTAAAAAGTTGGATTCAAATTGAATACCAAACAGGCCCTAAATAACCTAGAGCTATTATGTGGAGAATTTGTTAACAGCTCAAAATGACCACCTCAATGAGATTTCATCACTTGTATGGCTTAACAGCTCAAAGTAAGAATTATCCTTTGTCACCATTGGCTGAACCACATAGGCGCAAGGTGGTGTAGCTGCACCTCCCATCGTTGGAAAACCCCATGGCAATCGGGGATATTAACCTTTGCATG